CATTAATTTGTGGTTCCATGTAAACTTATTCTGTAGCCTTGGAAATAGTCTTGTCTGGACACGTCCTGTGAATATATTTAAATATCTTGTATATGTGCACTGATCTGGACGGTTGTCACTGCTCACCAGCCTTTTCTTAAGATCAGGGTTCTGCACATGGCGAGCTGAGCTCCTGTGTGCCACGCTGGATCCAGTCCTTGCCAAGCTTGGATGTACCTGCCTGGCACACACTCTCGTTACAGAATAATTCTCATTTGTGCAATAATTAGTGAGTGCCAAACATGTTGCAATGTGAAAGTGTTATGTTCTTGTGATTTCTGGGTGCTTATTGCCATGTGTATATAATCTTCAAGCTTTAAGGACAGATTTGTCAAGGTGTCTCCTAAGGTTCCGGGAAGGTTGTTAAAAGGCTGGAGCCACTTAACAGTTACCTGTGTGGCAGGTCCTTCTTGAACTGAGCAAGCAAAATGACAGGTTCTTGTAGATAGAAAAATATAACTTTCATGTCCCAGTTTCAAAATAGTCTCTTGTTCATACTTTTTTCCAGGTTATAATGAACAAAAGGTATAAGTTTAAATTAAAATAAATTTATCTTAATAAAATATATGTATATATTTTACAAATATCAGGACCCAAGGTAAGATTTTGTTTGAAAGAAGAGAGATGTTTCCTACTAACAGTGTTTGCAGCCCCTGGGAGGATGGGCCTTTATGCTTCCGCCGTTCCAGCTGAGGCCGCCCCTGGAAGAGAGACACCTTTGGTGTGATCAGGGGCCACCAGAGGGGTCTTTGATGTTGATGTAGTTTTCTTTACCAAGACGCAAAGTCTTTCTCATCTCTTAAAAAAATTTTTATTTGTTTATTGTTAGAGAGAAGGGAAGGGAGGGGGAAAGAGAGGGAGAGAAACATCAATGTGTGGTTGCCTCTTATGTGGCCCCCACTGGGGACCTGGCCTGCAACCCAGGCATATACATGCCCTGACTGGGAATCAAACTGGCGACCTTTTGGTTCGCAGCCTGTGCTCAATCCACTGAGCTACACCAGCCAGGTCTTTCTTGCCTTTGACATGGGTGAATAGTTATCATGCCATGCTTTTAGAAGAAACTTCCAGAGAACTACCATGAGGTGAGAAAGATCAACATTAGCACCTTTCCAGAGGGTTGGTTTTGGTTTCAAAAACAGAATAGAAAAGGGAAATTTCAAGGAAAATGGAAACTGGAGTTTTCTGATATTCCTCCATGGTTTTGAGAACAGAATTTTTGTTCTAATTGCAGAGAAGGTAATTTCTTAGTAATCAGGTAGGGTGGGGGGCTCAGGATTTATAGAGTGCCAGCTACGAGCTCACTGTGCTAGGGGACCTTGCCACAACTTTGCAGGGTAGTTACTGTTATTTCCAAATTACAAGTGAGGAAGTCAAGATGCTGAAAAATTATATAATTTGCTCTACGTATTCTGCCTGGTAAAAGGCAAATGGGGATTGAGAACTTGGCCTTTGCTTCACATTCCCAGTAGGACAGAGAAGGCCCCTAGCCTCCCTTCCTTTGACTCTAACTAGAACAAGATTGTGCTCACAGCCGAGATGGATAGACACCAGATGAAACTGCAGGTGGCAGGGTACGCACTGTAGAACTGAACTCATTAGTACTTAGGTTTGGCCTTTGCAGGAAATCACACTGCACCCTGAGCTCAATCAGATCTTCTGGGTTCCCCCTGGAGAAATGTAGATGGAGCTCCTGGGAAGGAAAAGTTGGGGGAGAAAGCCAGATGGGTCTGATTCTCTGAACCTATTCTTGTGGAACTTTATATTTGTTGTTGATCGATAATAGTCACAACAACTCTTTCTTGCACCCAGCTCATTCTAGTTACTGATTTAACTGGGGTGTGGTAATGTCATGTGGCTGCTATTCCATACACAAGGCTCTGCAGATGTCATGTCCTCGTGGGCAGAGGCTGCCCCATTCCCACTCCAGCACCTGACACACCAGTCCTCAAGCACAGTTACCCCCTGCAGAGATGGGCCCCAGAAAAGTGCACTAAAAAACCCTAAATCTCCACTGGTAATTTTGTTGTAATATAATCAGGGTTGAGATCCACTTACCTAGTACCTGATAGATGGTCAATTAATTTTTCTTGAGCAATTTAGTAAACAAAGATTGAATGTGCAGTAACCTTGGAAATGTGCTGCGCAGATCTCTTGCTGCAGGAGTATAATTAACTGAGGCCCCAGCTGTGGCCTCTTTGCATCTAGCACTGTGTTTGCACAAGATCACGCTTCCTGTGTGCTGCTTCTAGTCCGAGACAGCCTGGTGGGGATACTCGTGGAGGCCCATTGCTATGAGATGCAGGACTCCTCTGATGGGCAGCTTTGACTTGAGGATATCACACTTGAATTTTGTTCCCCAAATTCACATTTTGAAGTCCTAGATCCATACCTCAGTATGTGACTGTATTCAGAGACAGAGTATATAAAGAGGTAATTTAGTTCAAATGAGGTCATTACGGTAGGCCCTGATCCAATATGACTGGAGTCCTTATCAGAAAAGGGGGTTAGGACACAGACCTATACAGAGGGAAAATGACATGCAGACACAAGGAGTAGACAACTATGTACATACAAAAAAACCCCACCTCAGAATAAAACCGATCCTGCCAACATTTTGATCTTAGACTTCGAGTCTTCGTGAGGAAATGTCTGTTGCTTAACCCATCCAGTCCATGGTCCTTTGTCATGGCAGCCCTAGTAAACTAATTTTGGCTTAACTGAAACATTCTTAGAACCATGCTGCATTCTGAGACCCTTCCATCCCCGGCCTTCCTGTGCTCCCTCTCCCCTTTCACAGGTGGCGCACCGCACTGGGGCCCAAGGGCTCTCTCCACCTCCTCTGGCTCCCCCGACTCACAGGTGTTTCCCGAAATCAGTCTCTTGGACATCAACGCCCATGTTGGCATCTGCTTCTCAGAGAACCCAAACTACTACAAATGGGAAGAAAAAAATTATTTGCAAATACAATATCTTCCTGAGATTTTTAAGAAATAAAATCTACTACTGGGTGAAAATAATAAGGTAGAAATTTTTTTTTGGACATAAGTCCTGCTCGCCAGTATAGAAAGGTTGTCTGCCCTGACCCTGTTTCCTGTCCTCATTTTCTGGGTGCCACAGCTGTCTTGGGCTGCTTGGGAAGGGAGAAGGGGAAGTGACCTCCATCTGGTCAAATCAGAGCATGCCAGGGCTGAAAAGGACCTCAGAGATGATCACACACGTCCTGCCCCTCACCTCACACCCGGGCAGACTGAGTACCCAAAGGGGTGAGTGTCCAATGAACTCATGTAGGGTCACAGAACTGACAGATGAAGTGTTACTGGTAATTTCAGGGTTGTGTTTCTTAGCATGATCTAGAGACTGTTATTTAAAATGATGTATTTAGATAAGCATATGAGTTACTAGTCACTTCTACTGGTTATCTCTGGTCCTGGCAATGAAATACTGACTTTCTGGTCACACATATGACTAGCAGGAAAGATATCTTTCTCCCTTTCACCAACACCTGCAGCTATTCGCAGGTATTCAGCTTCTGCAGCATGAGAGTGGGTTGGCTGTTTACGAGCTGTCCCAGAGGGAAAGCGGGCTCTGTAACGGAGGCCATAATACACCCATACAGAAGAGCAAGGCCTGCCTTGGGATGGCAGCAGACGGAGGGCAGTCTGCCTCTTCATCCATCTGTCTGCAGCACATCTCATGAGCCCTCATCAGCTTGGGGCGGACCTAAACACAGAGGCTTAGCTGGAGTCCAAGGCCTCACATCATTCCTACTTCTTCAAAATCATTTGTTAGTGAGTGGTTTGTGTTGTTAATATGGTAGATGATCCTCGTCGTTAGTGAGATGGATCATCCTCTGAAAGGAGTGAATTTCACACTCCTTTCTGAAGCAGAAGGCCGATTTAGAGCAGAGTCACAGGATAAGAAAATCCACAGTTCCTGTTTTCAAAGAGGCCTCAGGGCCCAGACGCTTTCTTCTAAAACATCAATAACTTTACAGGCAGTGAGGAAGCAGAGCCTGCATCCCAGAGGAGGGACAGCCACTGGAATAAAAGTTTACTTATCAACACAGACAGCTGGCCTGCAGGCTGTAGTTTGCCAGTTTGACTTTTTAAAATTTGACCTTTAAAATCTTGACCTTTAAAATTTGGATAAAATATTATTTAACTCACGGTTAAGTTTTTGGTGACCACTCAAATTTCACATATGAGGCGACTTCCAGCTCTTAGATACCTATAGTTCTGTCCAGCTTTTATTCCCCTTTTCCCCGGTACCATATGCCAAGTTTCCTCTGTAAGCAATTTCTCTGTCTTCTATTCTTAGCTACCTGGTTTGGGTGGGATCTACCCTACCCCAGTTCCAGGAATAAGCAGCGATTGGCTTAAACCAGGCAATACATTTCTTCCCCACAGGATGGTTGGTTCAAGAGATAATTAAGCTTGTTCAAGAATAGTGAACTTAAGACTGAAGCTGAGAATGCAGGAATGCAGACACTTTATCCTCTTGGGTTATGATGTGAAATTGTATGGCCAGGAACTCCTGGGTCTACTAGTAGTGAACTTGAACCTCCAGGCTACCCTCTGGACCCAGTTATAAAAGAAATGAAGGGGTGGATGCAGATTCTGTAAGGTCTATAGCTTACACAGCTTTGACATTCTCTTTAAGAAAGTGAATATGTAATTACGAGTACATAAGAAAGTATAAAAGTGAATTAACTCGAATGAGAGAAGAAGTCATTTCCCAAATCACAAATGGGAAAGACCTGACAAAGGCCATAAACATCACTAAATGTGGGTAAATAGCACACCATTTTATTAATTAATATCTGACACACCTCTCAAGTACTTTTTCCATGTTTTTGGCTGCTTACTATTTGGTCGTATCTTTATATGACAAGATTTAGTGATATTTTTAGATCAAGGCCAAAAAGTTTTTCTTTTTCTAAATATGTTTATTGATTTTAGGGAGAGGAATGGGGAGAGAGAGAGAGAGAAACTTTGATGTAAGAGAGAAAATCGATTGGTTGCTTCACATACACACCCAGCCAGACCAGAGACTGAACCTACAACCCAGGTATGTACCCCAATGAGGCATCAAACCCCAACCTTGCGGTGTACAGGATGGCTCTCTTAGCCATGGAGCCACCCAGCCAAGACAACAGTCTTTCCTTAATCACCCAATAGTACGGATGATTGAAATATTTTACTATCAAAAGTGTAGAAAAGTTTGTTTCAGTGTCATTATTTGTTGTTGGCAATGACATGTAACACTTTTCTGGCTACTGTAAATCATGGATAGCTTTTGCTTCATTAGTTTCATGGTAAATCTATCTGTTATCTAATTTCTTTCTTTAACATAAACTACATATTAGATAATGTCTACCTGCCTCTTAAGATCTGTTTAAGACTGAAGCTCAAATTCCTGTTCCATACTTTGTAAAACATAAAATGCCCTCCCCAAGGTTTCTGGAATACTGAGTAGGGCCTTAGATACTTGTGGTAGATATTTTGGGGTCACCTAGCATCTGTTCACTCTATTTTTACTGACAGTATTTTGGTCTTTCCTCCCCTCCCTTATTATATAGTTGAACAGGACTCACCTCTGAAATTCTAGATTGGAGTACACAGCCCATACTCAAGAGCAGCAATACCTTGCATTTCTCCTGGCCATCACCTGTGACTCTGGGGTGAAAGGGAGACTCAGAGTTCCCCATAGTCTATTAGTCTTTTGTTGAAACTTGGGGAAGAGATGTTCTCTATGTCCTGAGAAAGTGTGAGGTCTGAAAAAGTATTCCAAGTATCCCAAGGACTGCAGGAGTATATGAACTAGGTTGGAGGGAGGGAGAAACTGGGCTAAATTTAGCCTTCTCTGCTACTTTTGCAATATTTGGGAAAGGGAAGTCATGTTCCATTGTTAGACTGACAGACTAACAATGTTAGTCAAGGTTACTGCCAAAGGAAGGAAGACATTGAAAGGGAACTGAGGAAAATTAATAAAAAGCTGAATATGATTCTCTTAGAAAGGGAGAGACATCCGGATTCTTGACCTTTTTTAAAGGTCATGAGGGCATTCTTTTTTCATTGCTTTTTAGAGAAAAAGGGAGGGAGGGAAGGAGAGAGAGAGAGAAACAACGTGAGAGAGAGACATTGATCACTCACCTTCTTGCATTTGTCCCAACTGGTGATCAAACCTAAAACCTGGGCATGTGCCCTGACTGGGAATGGAATCTGCAACCTTTTGGTCTATGGGACAACACTCCAACCCACTTAGCTACACCAACCAGGGCCAACTTCTTGACCTTTAAAATCAAATGATGAGCCTAGCCAAGGGCAAACAACATGGTGTCTTTATAGCCAAAAAAGGTTTATAAATATTAGCCAATGGCCCATCTACTGCAAGTCACATAGAACATTTAAGTTGTGAGGGCCCCTCTTATAAGCTAAGGTTTAAAAATTACTCAGATTCCATTACTAAAAAATACATTTCATATTCAATGGGAGTCTGACATAATTTTTTTAATCCTCACCCAATGATATGTTTATTAGCTTAAGAGAGAAAGGAAGGGAGAAAGAGAGAGAACATCAGTGTAAGAGAAAAATACTGAGTGGTTGACACCTGTATGCCCCCATCTGGTGCTGGAACCTGCAGTCTAGGTATGTACCCTGCCTGGGAATCTAGCCCAAAACATTTTTGGTGTATAAAACAATGCTCCAACCAGGGCCTGACTTGTAATTTTTATTAATCTTGCTTACAAAACCTCCCATGCCACGGGGAATCCTCATCTATATATAGAGACTATGGAAACTCAAAACAATTAGTTATGCAGCCTTATGATTCTCTAAGGTACTTTCCACATCCCAATCATGAGAGTCCTTTCCTCAGTCCATGTTAGTATGTTTATGAATCTACCTCCCCGACTAGACTTCAAGCTCCTTCAAAACAATCTTGCTTATCTTGCATTCTCCCCAACAGTGCCTGGCACATACTAGGCACTCAAAATAAGCTTGACCGACTTAGGCTCAGAGTCACAGTTCTTTCACTGGCTGACTAGATATCCTTGGACAAATTATTATTTTTTTAAGCTTGTTTAACCGTTATGTTATTTTAGGGAACTATATTGAACTTTTAATTCTGGAAAACCATGTCTGGAAATCTTCAGTCTCTGAATCAGGTCCCCAAGCTGCTAGCCCTCTCTAACGATGACACTTCCTATGCATTACTAAAGTGGTGATGGTTATTGGAGAGGCTCTTTCTCATTTCCCAACTGCTTCACTTAAAAACATTTTTATATACCTCCTCTCTTTAGTTTCAAAAGTATATCCCTCCTCCTTTCAAAGGTTATCCCTTCTACCAGTGCTTTCAATCTCATTCCCACATGGACACATTATTTCAACCTTTATGAAATCTCCCAGCACATGCTTGGTGCAAAATATATGTTCTTTCCCCTGAATAAATGAAACTAAGGAAAAAAATGGATGATTTCCCAACAAATGATTAAGGACAGGTGTGGCAAGAATCCATGGCTTTTGGACCTTAGACCCAAGTGACTTATGTGCCCATCTTTCTCAGTCAAGAGGAAGTCATTAGTGGAACTCACCTCCCAAATCCAGCTTTCTCATATTTGATGGGAAAGCTGTAACCATAGCAACTCCTAGCCACAATGGATAGAATGCTACACAGAAGGAACCCACACACAGCTGATTAAATATTTGAGTAACTAATTTTGTAATGTGACTTCACTAAGTGCTTACCTATTGCACGAAAGCTGTTGGCAATTAGAGGAACCAGAAATTGCCTCAGAATGCAAAGGCATATTCTTCGCTGCTTAAAATAGAAAAATCACTAATGCTCTCCCAAAGGACACAAATAGAAATGTTGGGACATATGCCATGTTTTAATGACTCAGCCAGAGAAAAGTTCATGTCAGTTGGACTGCTCTGCACTGCCCAAATGTTACATGACAAGCACTTGTAAAGCAAGATTTAGAGCTTGTGTTCTGGTAGTAAAACCCTGTGAATGCAGCAGCTCAGGTTGGGGTTTTCATTCATGTTAAGTTCCTGGAGAGCTTATGAGTTGTCCATAGCTGCTTGACTTCCTCTGACGTCAGGGAATGGGTCAGACTTCCTCTTAAACACATCTTAAAAAAAGAATCTAATGAGTGAGAATTTTCCACTCTAGTGGAGCACGAGTCTGGGTCATGACCAGAATTTTTTTTCAGGAAATGGAATAGAATGGCATAGAATAGAAAATGGCATCCGTCACATGTAGTAAGAGGAAGGAATATTCCTTGCAACATTTGTTTTAATTTCATACAGGGATAATATTATGATGCAGATGCATTATTTATTGTAGGTCATGATAAAAAAATAAATAACCACTGAGTTTGAGGGCTTTTCTGTTTTTAAGGAGATTTAACCAAATGTTTGTCTACATCTATTGCCACAAATATTTCAGCGAAAATTAAATACTGTCGCAGCTCATTTTGGTAATAAAACCTACTGTTTGTTGTATATCTATGACATCTTGACAATTGAGAAGAGGCTCGATATCCCTATTTTAGCATTGAGAAATATAAGGTTTAAAACTGGTAATTGATGTGTACATCACATCACTAGCAAATAACTCACTCTAAGCTCCATTTCTTTTTTCTTGTGCATAGCAATTTAATGGAAAAATAATTAAGTATAGCATTTTAATGAAAGAATAATGAAGGTTCTCTTAAAATCCGTTGATTTGGGTTTGGGAGAGATATGGGCCATTTGGGTTTGATTGCTGAAAATTTGACCCGCACACACAAGGGTCTTGACCTACTGGGAGAATTCTGGGAAACATGGGGGTAAAAGGGTAGATGTATAGCTGCCTAAAGACTGACTCAAACAATGGAAGGGAGATAAAAATTGGAGACATTCTGCATCAACTCTGAAACCAGAGAAATGTATCCTCTACATTGTGTGCTCAGAGGAAATTCTGTCACGTTAAATCACCCAGGGCCTACCCATGGCTCTATTTACTGAGAAAGCACTACTTTCATGGAAAATCTGAGCCTATTTTGCTTCCTGGCTCCTATATTTCTTAATTTGGAGCAGCACTTTTCAACTGGTATGCCACAAGAATTTTTAAAACATGCAATATCTAACTATTTGTCAGGGCCACTTTCCTCTTTTCCCTTAGATTGTCAAATAAAAAAAGTTGACGGCCAATACAACAATAGCTGTCCAATGTGAATGAATCAAAATTATAGCTATCTTTTGTCAGATAGGCAAAAAATATATACTTTCTTGGTGTGCCACAGAATTTTAATAGTTTATGTGTGCCAAGATGAAAAAGGTTGAAAACCACTGATTTAGAGGGTTGATAAACTACCATCTCTAGCTCTAATCTCTCCCTCTGCCTCCATGTCAACACATGCCAAGAGATACCCGTGAGGGTTGGGATGCACTGGGCTGGCTTGCTCTTAGGACGTTCTCTTCTTTTCCCCTTCTTAGCTCTGTATCCCTGGGGAGGAGGGTCATAGAGAGCAGAGTAGGGGGGTCAGCAAAGGTAGCTGATCCCTGCAGGTTTTGCCTCAAGTTCCCACATCAGCTGACTGCTACCAGTGGGAGGTACTGGTAGAAGAGATTGGTGGGTAGAAGGGAGAAGCTGGAGTATTTTATTGCCTTCCTCAAACTCAGGGGGCATCTCTGGCAGCAGCTGCATTTCCTTGGTGGCTCCAGCTGCTACAGGATAGGCCCACCATAGTCCAGTTTCTCCTGTTTGTCCCTCATCTGGTGCTTGTCTACTGTAGTTAATCTCTGAGTTGCCTCACCACATTTTATTGGCTCTTTGCTTTTACAACACCTGTGTAATCTGTTCCCCGCATTAAAATCCCATGGTTCTAAATACTCAGGTCATTTCTATTTTTCTGGTTGGTCCCTGACTGATGGGGTAGGGTGGGTGGGGCACAGGCCCAGAGCCATGTTCAGAATCATAATTGGGTTCAGTTGGAACACCTTGCTGCATGTTTACCTGATATAAATAACTACAGCCAAGTGAGTGGGTAAAGAATCAATAAAGTGTCTGAGAAAATACTAACATGCAGGCTCTAGGCCTTGGATGACCTAATTCTATAGGCGGTGAGCGTCATAACTGCTCTCCAGGTCCGATGCTGTGTGGTGGCCTGACGTCACCGCCCAGAGCGCAGAGCTCGATGGACCCCGCTACCACAGTGGGGGGAAGGGAGGAAGCTCTCACCGCCACCTCCACTGCCCTGTACTTAAATGCTGTTTAGTGACTGGTTGTAAGAAGGACAAGAACCCAGACAGCCAGGGGATTCCAGCCAAAGTGTATTCTTCACCTGGCTTGGGCAGTTTGTTTCTTTTGATTCTATAACAAATAACTTATGTGCAGAAATAAAATTCATAGGTAGTTAAGCCTACCTATGCTTATAACTTAAGTAAAAGGAGTGTTACACCACAACTATAATACAATGGAGAAATAGAATGAATGCAATAATGGTAACATTTATTTTAACATGTAAATGTAAGGTATGATTTCACTAAGAAGACATAGTGAATTGGTCAGGTGATTGCACCTGTGCATAATAAATGAGTTGGGCTTTAAGAGAAAGAACCAGATAAGTTCCAGATGTAAAGGAAAGTGAAAGAGCAGTAAAGGACACTGAAGTAGGGACTAGGGTTGGGACACCTAATGACAGCAGACCAGAAGTATTTATCTGTGATAAGAGCAAGTGGGAAATAACCGTAACCAAAGTGGGGATAATATGCTGAGATAAACTACACACTGACATAGTGGAGAAAATGAGGAAGTCTCACTAGTGAGCTGGGGCATATTTATAGGTGTAGTACCAGTTACTGCCTTCGTTATGAGATGGGCTGAGAAGTGACATCATTTCATAGAAAACATACTTCCTATCTTGAAATCCTGCCCTGTATGGAGTTTATGTTTATTTCATCCCTAGTACATTGTAAAGACTTTGGGGACCATATACTTCAATAAGTGATAAAGATAGATCGGAAAAAAGAGCAGTGACTCAGGGGTAGACATTGAGGGTCATTACTAGGGTAAGATGGGAAAAAAAACAGGCACCTTAAAATAAAGCTGTAATTTCAATACAGTACTAGATTTCCTATCGTCATTCTAAATAATTATAATAATGATGAAAAATTTTAAAGAGTAAAAACTGTCATTAATGAAATGCCATGAGATTCTTGCATTGAATGTCTAACCATATTTTAATAATATTTGGATAAAAAGCTGGTAAGTCTGCTAAAGGAAGTGTCCGATCTCTCTGGTTCCACTTTTACATGGGACAGCCATAAAAGCAGACCAACACAGGCATGTACAGCCCACGGCAAGCATGTGGCAAGCATGTGGCATGGTTCCCCACAGTGATGAGCACCTCTTGGTGTATCTCCAAATAAAACAAAGAACAAATGTGCTTCGATTTACATAACAGCTGTATTCTTGGAAAAATCAATGTACATGTTAAAACAGCAAAAATGATTTCATGTTATATGTAAAACAGAGCTGGGGTGTAGGCTGTATCTTTATTAAAAAGTTTTCCCAATATGTGAATACCAGATGTAGCATTAAAGGAATGAAGCCAGACTTGAGAAAATTCTTTGTTGCCTAGGACTGCGCTGTTGCTGGTAGGTCATTTAGCATACGCAGTCCCCCCACCAAATGTGGACAGTGTGTTCCTCCAATCATTGTGCTGACCAAAAACTCCTCTTCAAATGAACAAAATGCTCTCTGAGATAAACCATCCTCTTGAGAACCACTGCTTTCACCCAAGAAATGATCTAATCCGCCTGTTCCGCAGTGGTTTCATACACGGCCCATCGCCCCTCTCTCGCGCTGGAGGCAACTGCAAGGCCTGGGAGGAGCGCCGTTCCCCAGTGCCCGGTTGACGTGGCTTTCTGAGATGTGATCCAGCTGCCGCGGCTCTGCGCATTGTTAAAGGCCCGCTCTCTCACCCACACCTCCTTTCAGGAAGGGCCGCAGAGAGTCCACCGACTGGGACGCGCATGGGGAGAGTGAGGAGCAGAGGTTCCCATCATGGGCCACCTGAGATGACATAATATGAGTGGATCAGCCCCTAAACTTTTACCACAAATGTAACAATTGCTTATCCAGCAGGATTCTTCTTGCTGCACTTTCCCTCTTCCAGTGACTTAAGGGACTTTGAAGTAAACTAATAAGCACCTATTAGTCATCTGTTACGTGTAAGGCTCTGCTCAGCACTGAGAGGGAAATATAAAAGAGATCAAGACATGGCCCCTTGAGAAACTCATAATTTAATTTTGTGGAAAGTACACTGTACATTGCCCTGGTTGCTGCTTTTATCAGCAACATGATGTTAGATAATTAATTAACCTCCCTGCAGATGGTTTTCCAATAGAGACTCAACTGGTCTCCTACCAATGTCACAGTAATTGCGTCAGATATGAGGATTTGGAGAGAGATAAGGCAATGTAGACATTAAAAATAACAGGGCTTGTGTGATTTCCTTCTACATAAACCTCTTTGAATCTGAATCTTGCTGGGAAAGTACAACCTCTTGCCTTTTAAGAGACTTCATTTTATCTTGGGGCCAGCTGAAAGATATACTACATTTTAGAGTGTCTACCAGGCATTTTCTCGTAGTAATTTCCTCATGAGCTTCTTCTGTTTTTCAGCTGAGAAAATTCACAGGACGTGCCCTTCTCAGAGAAAACTACAGGCTGTAATAAGGGGAAGAATGATGGGTTTAAGTATTACTTCGACATAAATACAAGAATCTTCAACACTGTGCTCATGATTGAAACACACTAGTCACGTTGCCCTGACTTGGGAAGATGAGCAAACCGTACAGAAGTTTCTAGGAAGCCTAGCATGGGATCCTTCACTGTACTAGTCAGGGTTCTCAGTTGCAAATGATTGAAACAGACTCTAGTCATGTAAGCAGAAAAGGAATTTGCCGGCAAAATATTTGTTTCTTATGGGATTTCTAGGGAGACGGGGGAATCAGGTTTGCAATGTGAGGGAAACAAAGAGGATCCGTGTGGTCAGAAGAAGAGCTCAGGGCACGTCCACCACTCAGTGAGTCCCGATTAATGAAGATGCTGACACAGACACCTAATGAGCCCTGATCCTGGCACCACCACCACGGCTGCTCTCCTCTCTGCCGTGGAAAGCCTGTGCTGCAGTCCCATCACCTGGTCCTGCTTCTCTGAGTCCATATCTGGAGACCTCTGATTAGCCATGTCAATCAGGGCTCCTGCTGTAGTTACCAAACGAGGCTAGAAAAGGGAGTCTGGCCCATTCAGCTTCTGCAGTGACAGCAAGGCTCTGCGTTCTAACCATACCTTAAACCCGAGGGGATTCTGAAACCTACAAATACGGTTCGGATGCAAGGTCGTTGAAGACATGCAAACATTTACTTCTCTCGGGGAATGATTAAGAAGAGTAATGGAAGCTTGGATGTGTTTTATCTTACTTTAATCTTCATCACCTTTTAAATCTTCATCCCTTCTTTTCTAAAAGAGTTTGAAAAAATCCAACAGCATTTGGCTATGTCCCCTCAAAAGTGTATATTTGAAAATAAGTGCCTATTTATTTATTTATTTTTAAATTAAATTTATTAGGATATCATTGGTTAATGACATTGTATAAATTTCAGGTGTACAACTTTCGAATCATTGTGTTCTTGGGAAGTCAGTATATATACTGCACACTCTTGTGTGCTCACCTCCTGGACTCTAGTCCCCATCTGTCACCTTGTATTTGGGTCCCTTGACCCTCTTCATTCTCCCTCCACCCCCATCCCCTCTAGTGACTGCCATTCTGTTGTATCTATGAATTTGTTTCTTTGTTGGTTTTATCTGTTTATTGTTACTTTTAGTTTTCTATCTCACATATAATTGCATTCCTATGTTTTAACAATGAGTTATCAGAAAGAAAAGTGAAAAGAAAAACAATAATCCCATGTTCAATTGCACCAAAAGGATAAAATGCCTAGGAATAAATATACAAAGTGAAGGACTTATATTACAAGACCGTTGAAAGAAGTTGAAAAAGGTACAAAGAGATGAAAAGATATTCTGTGTTCATGGGTTAGAAATGTTAAAATTGTTAAAATGGACGTATTACCTACATATCATTTTCCTTGTTTAAGGAGCCAAGACCTGGGAATATTAACTGATTCAGCCACTATGGAGACAGTATGGGGGCTCCTCAGAAAATTAAAAATAGAACTATGATCCAGCAATTCACTCTGGGCATGTACCTGAAGGAAGAGGAGCACTGTGATAAAGAGGTGTCTACACTCCCACGTTCAGGGAAGTGTATTGACAATCGCTGAGATGTGGAAACACCCCTGTGTCCAAGTGTCCATCAGTGGATGGATGGATGGATAAGGAAAATATTATACACTTACACACACAGAGGAATATTATCTGACCATAAAAATAAGGTGATCCTGACATTTGTGAACAACATGACAAAGATGAATTTTAAGAGCTGTAAGCTAAGTGAAATGAGTCAGACAGAGAAAGGTAAATACCATATGACCTCATTTACATGTGAAATCTGAAAAAAAAATGACCTCATAGAAACAGAGAACTGATGGGTGTTTGCTAGAGGTGGGGGCTTGGGATGGACAAAAGAATCCAGGATCTAATGTACGAGAGCATGGTGACTATAGTCAACAATACTGCATTATATATTTGAAAACTGCTAGGAGAGTAGAGCTTTAAAGTTCTCATCCCAAGAAAAAAAAAGTCATATTATGGGATAGATGTTAACTAAACTTACTATGATGATCAGTTATTACATTATGACATTGTAATATATAATGAAATAATTATACAACTCACCATAATGCAGAATCAGCGGGAGCCCTGAGCTTGTTTTCCTGTGACTAGATGGCCTCATTTGGGGGTGATGGGAGACAGTGGTACCCAAAGTGTGTTGCTTATGTCAAGTCTACTCTGTAACCTCATTTTGGTGGCTGTCCCTACAGAAAACTCTGTATCACAAAGATAGGATGTTGGAAGCGGAAGCAGGCTTTTCTGTGCTTTTGTGGCAATCCCAAGATATTCTATGTTGACTTTAATCCAGAATGTCTGGAGACTTGAAGTTGTCTGAAACATACTTTTTAAAAAATATTTTATTTATTTGATTTTAGAGAGAGGGAAGGGAAGGAGAAAGAGAGGGAGAGAGACATCAATGTGTAGTTGTCTTTCACATGGCCCCCACTGGGGGACCTGGCCTGCAACCCAGGCATATGCCCTGCCTGGGAATCGAACCAGCAACCCTTTGGTTCATAGCCCAGGCTCAATCCACTAAGCTAGACCATCCAGGGCTCAAACATGCTTTTAAGGTCACCATCATTTGCGATCACAAGCAATTGATCCTCTTCTATCATGGACAAAGTCGACTCACCTGGCTTATTCACAGATGGGTCACAGATCCATTTCTTCCTGGTCCAGGGGGTCTTTTGTGTTTGGGAAGTAATGCTCAAGGTCTGTTGAAAGCTGAGATAGGTGATCATGCACCAGCTTAGAGAAAGAGATCCTGGCTCAGTCTTTCAAAATCTCTGCTAATGTTTGAAACATGTCAAAAATCCCCATGTTCACTCATTGTTCCCATAATTCCAGTTTGGCTTTGAATGCAGCCACTTTATCTGCTGACTTGGGCACAGTTGTCATTCTCCCCCGAAGTGACAGATTGAGTCCACTGACTCAAAAGGTTGAATTGAGTCTTACAAAAGGTTGAATGTGTCACACCAGCAAGCAAGTTCTGTGACCCATTCTGTGTCACTGAAATGTGCTGCCACTGGTGACTGTTTTTCTAGAAGAAATCTCTAGAGCAGCTTTCATTACTCAGAAACTCTGGGCAGTGATCTACCTTTGGAAAGCCATCTCACTTCTGTGTGTAAGAGAAGACCTGTGTGCTCTGCATCCATCTCCTCACAGAGCTGCACAAGCAGTCGTGAGTTAAGGGCAGGTACATCAACATGGCTGATTATTTTAATCGTATCCTGCAAAATGCTATTCGGTTCAGGTGACATTTTTTGGCTAACCAGCATTTCTCTATGGATGAAACAGTGCACACACTCACATTCAGAAGCGACCTCTTTGACCTGAGTTGTGAAACCAGAAAGCCGTCCAGTCATGGCAGCTGCTCCATCTGTGCATGTACCAACACAAAACAGCCAATGCGGTTTTCCTGCTATGTAACCATTCAAAGACCTGAACAGTTCTGCAGCTGTGGTGTTGGTTGGCAACAAAAGTGCACATGACTTACCCTCACGCACATCCTCCTGAAAAATACGTTGCACAAAAACAAGCATTGTCGCCCTGTTGTCAATATTGACAGACTCATCAACCTGGATTGTGTACCATGGGGACTCATTCATTCTCTCTCTCTAAGGATTGTGCTTCAATATCCTCTGCTGTTTCACCAGTTTGCCTAATTACGGTGCTAGCCAAAAAGGAGTACATGCCACCTTTTGAACTGCAGCTTCTCTTAAAATTCATGACAAATGTCCTCAGAGCAGGCAGGACCAACTTTTCCCCACAGTAAAGGGCTTCTTAGCTTTAGCAGTGTGGTTAGCCACTAAGAATGACATTCTCAATTCAGACACATTCGATAAAGTGGTGGCCTTCAATAATTGTTTTTGCTCTTCATGTTCACATTTTTTTTCTTTTGAAAAACTCCAAGGGCTTGTCTTTTATTTCAGGGTAGTTGGTCTCCATGTGGGGAAACAGTTCTGAGGGTTTCGTGGCTTTGTTGGCTAGCTGGTCACCACATATTCTACAAAGCAGGCTTGGAGAATGTGAATCACCAGTTGCAATGAGCCTATAATTTAAGTAGGACTCTTGGTGTTTTCTTTTAAATGTAGGTTTTTTTTTTTTTTTTTTGCTGGCAGTCTTACAGTTTTCTGCTGGCTCATCATTGGGTCTTCCTTCCTTTTCGAAGAAGCTTTCCAGCACTGTTTGTTTATTACTCACTTTGGCTAGGGTCAGCTTGTGGGCTTACCAGGACTGTGACTGAGACAAGTGCACAGGGCAGGAAACAGACATGGATGCAAGTGGTGAATAAAATAATGGGTGGACCATGCACAGTATGAAATAAGTGTTGGATTCTGACTTAAAGCCTGCCACCGGATGCTGCTGCACAAATGAAGTACAGCCCCTCACTGGCCACTCTAAAGCCTGCTACGGGATGCAGCTTAATGGTCACTTGCCACTCAGTGATAGGGTTTTGCTATGAGTCCGCAGGCAGTTGATGTATTATGGTCTCTGCACAGTCAAACCTCTCTGCTAACGATGATCTGTATTTGCAGCCGCTCCCCAGCACTAGCATGGCCGCCTCAGCTCCACCTCAGATCATCAGGCACTAGATGCTCATAAGGAGTGTACAACCTGGATCCTTCCCATGCACTGTTCATAGTAGAGCTGCACTCCTATGAGAATCTAATGCTGCTGCCAATCTGACAGAGGTGGCGCTCAGGCAGTGATGCGAGAGATGGAGAGCGGCTATAAATGCAGATGAAGCTTCACTCGCTCACCTGCTGCTCACCTCCTACTGTTCGGCTTGGTTCCTAATACCCCATAGACTGGTCCATGTCCATGGCCCAGGGGTTGGGGACTCTTGTTATAAATTTCAACCATTGAATGGATTGTTGTATTTTGAAATGAGTATGGAATTAATTATATTAGTCCTAAAACAAAATCATACTTGCATAGATATCAACTTTCACTACATTTTCTTTTACCTCTTGCCATAGCACTATGGCCCCATTACAGGCATTTTGACTTGGTTTTGTTCGGTCATGATGGTGGAGGAGGAAATGTCAAAGCACATCTGTGCTCCACTCTAATGGTCCAAAGGTAATAAATCATCCAGTCCATTGCATGGAAACTTAAATCATTCCTCCCTAATTTCTAAATGGCTGAGCAGTTGTAAGACCAAATCATATAGTGCTAATTAAAAAGTTAATATGGACATTGATCCCTGTATTACTCTGTAAAATTCGGAGTTCCTCTACTGCTGCCATTCTTTTATTAGTTGCCCCTCAGGACATTACTGGAATAGAGTGTAGCCCACCCCATGACTTATGCTGCAGAGATCAAAGGTCCTGCATCAGTTTCACCAGCAAGTCCAAGTGCTTCTCCTAAAGAGCTCTGATCTTTGCCAGCCTTTTAGGCAGAGCTTTTGTCACAATCAGCAAAGATAAAGAGCTGTCACAATGATGGGTAGCCCTTTGATGCCAGGCCTCTTTTTTAGTCAAGGGGATGTAGAGGTCTTCATTAGAATCATGTAATATTATAAGTGTATGGACCAAATGGAAATTTATTTTTCCTGTTCTAAGGCCAAATGAAAAAATATTTTTCAGTCACCTCCTTCTACAGAGAATTTCCCTTCTTTGACACTAACCAGACTTGATAATATTTTAAATCCTCCTTTATTGTAAAATGTAACATCCTGGAACAGTGATTTTTCAACTGGTGTACCACAAGAATTTTTAAAACATGCAATACATATTTAGTCGGGGGCACTGACCTCTTTTCCCCTAGATTGTCAAATAAAAAAATGACAACAGCCAACACAACAGCCATCCATTGTGAATGAATCAAAGTTATATTTATTTTTTTGTCAGATTGTTAAAAGTATAATATTTTTCTTGGTGTGCCATGGAATTTTAGTCACTATTTTATGTGTGCCTTGAAATAAAAAAAGGTTGAAAATCGCTGTCCCAGAGAAATGAGCACAAGAAAGAAAAGGTACAGACCATAGATTAATCACAAGGCAAATACTTGTGTATACACCACCCATGTCAGGAAATGAACCATGTTTACATTACAACCTGCTCGCAAGTATTTATAGCAGCTCTTTTCATAAGCACACAAAACTGAAAACAACACAAATGGACACTCATCCAGTGAGTGAATGAATAAACAAACTGTGGTACATCCACACAATGGAATACTACTCAGTAATAAAAAGGACTAACTATTGATACATGCAACAACTTAGATGAATCACCAAAGCATTATGCGAAGTACATAAAAGAAGTATCAAAAGGCTACATACTGTATGACTCCATTTATGCAATGTTCTTGAAAAAACAAAACGATAGCGATAGAGAACAGATCAGCGACTGCCAGGAGGACAGGTGGGATGGAGGATGTGGTGGTGAAGGACTAGCGCCAGGGAGTTTTTCCGGGTGATAGAACCTCAAAATCCTGGTTATGGTGGTGTTACAATCTATACACGTGTTAAAATTCATATAAATGTACACCAAAAGAAAAATCAATTTCACTGTACAATAACTTTACAAATTAAGTTAAAAGAAAAGAAATGGGACATGGCAAGCAGCCAGAGCCCCTCTGGTTCCCCTTTCAGCGACTTACCCCACCTTTCCCCAAAGAGATAAGAATTTATTCATTGATACTTTAAATACTTTATATCACCTGCTTTGGCCAATCAATAGGCTTAGATCTAGTCTGATTGCTTTTAGGTGCCCAGTAGTGTTTTAATTCAAGGGACTACTCAGGAAATCATACAAGTTCAAGGGCTGGAAGTGCTGATTTGTTCGTGTTTCCCACTCTGGCAGATTTCATTCAAATTGGTAAAAGTAACATAGTACAACCTTAAGAAAAGTTTATTGAATCAGTAAATAAAAACTTTACAAAAGGGACAAGAGATATTCTCAAATCACCTGCAAATCATATCAATCCCATTATCACCTTACCCAAAATCATCAAAAAGAGACCTGAAATCATCTGTAAATTTTCTGTGATAGTATTACATACCATGAAATGAGAGCAAGGATTTTTGAAGCATATTCATTATGAATTTTATTTTTGACAACTTGCATCACTGTGTCTACAGCACAAAGTTTTCTCTCTTCCCAGTATAAAACCTAGTTAAAGAATTCTGTAGGACAAGAAAATTACCACAACTTAGTATTAAACCCCAGGCAACTAACAAAAGGAAGTTATAAATTTAACAATGATCTGA